ACAAGTTCCATATCGGTTACGCATAAGTACATCATATAACATAAAAACAAAATAAACAGAAATTAAGGAGAGGTTTCCATTGCAAAAAACTATGGATATAAAAGAAATTAGACGAGAAACAGCTAGCAGTAAAAGAAAGGAAAAATAGAAAATAAGAGAATTACATATACCTAAATTAAATCAAAGTATCATATGTAAGGAAACCAATAGAAAAAGTGTTAAATAAAAGGGGTAATCAGGAAAAAATTCACACATAGAAAAATTTCACATATAGAAAAAATACCACATATAGAAAAAACTTTGCATAGCGACAAAAATTCCACATATAAAACATAAGTGAATGTGGAAAGTGCGAGGTTGAAAAAATATATCAATTGGAAGTTACTTCTATGACGACACTTGGAAACCAATTCATTCCTTTTATTTAGTAAAATGTTTTGATTGTTAAACTTAATAATTCTAATTTTCTCCCCAAGCATATATTACATCTAGCCTTAAAACTACTAGCAAAAGCTCTGAATTCCCAGTTAGTTTGATGTCACAGGTCTTTATCCCCCAATTCCCCAAATTTCATGGGGGGAGCAGTTTGGTGCTTAAGTCTAGAAATGAAAAAAGAGTGTCCATATATATATATATATATATATATATATATATATATATATATATATATATATATATATATATATATATATATATATATATATAATATATATGTGAATGGGCTGAAGTAGATAGATGTGAACGGACTGAGATAGATAGATAGATAGATAGATAGATAGATAGATAGATAGATAGATAGATAGATAGCGTACTCTTGTCTCCTGCAATATTGACCCAACACAATTGAAGAACCCTGCAAGGGATCGGATCGGCTGGCGGTCTCTCTGCGTAGCCGGAGTGGCGCATTTCCAGGAAGAGAGACGAGGGGCGCTGGAGGAGAGGCGACGCCAACGTTACCCGCAACCTGCCAATTCCGAACCGTGCATGTTTCCCAGCCACTTGTGCCTGTGAACTTGTCGGTTTGGACTGCTATCTCATCTGGCAGTCCACAGAAGACGGACACAGATGGATGGACAGCGTCGACGTCAACAATGACGGATAGCCTAAGAGATAGATAGATAGATAGATAGATAGATAGATAGATAGATAGATAGATAGATGTGGTAGTTAATATAGGAATAATGGCATATCCAAGAAATGGGTATAAACTTAGATACAGATGATAAATTAAACAAAGAAATACGATTTAAGATTTTTGAACTGTAGTATTTTTTCCAGTATAGTGACCATTTTTTTTTTATCAATCGAAGTTACTTCAAAAATTAAATATCTACGAGACTAACCAGAAACTCAATCAATTTTTTTGTTATTTACTAATTTAACGCTTTAGCACCAGCAATAAAAAGTAAAGAGAAGGCAAAGGTGGTCAAGCGTGACATCAGCAACATCGACGGCAGCAGCAGGCAGGCGTTAATGAAATTTTGTTTACGGCTCCAGATACTAGGTTAACGATTATTCTATGCATTAATAGCCTTGTGAATTGCTTTGCGAATTGTGTGCCCCGAGTAGTAGAGCAGCAACAGAACGAACAATAATTGAATAGGACTCAAAAGAACAGAAGATATAACCAAACATTGAGAGAGGACTGAAAAATATTTATCACCGTACATTAAATAAAGTTCTCTTTTCGACATTCCCTGAATTTCACCTGAATCATCAAAAATTCTTAAGAAGGCCGGAGAACAACACAATCGATATGTTTTCATAATAACAACAAAAATGAGGATATTATTTACATTTTTCGGACTATTGTCCTCATCTTTGTCGCCATATTTATCACAACCTTTCGGCCGCTGTACGCTCCGGCCTTCTTCAGCTGGTTGGAATGTCGAACTGAACCCTTTATTTCGCTCACTGGGGTAGACTGTTCTAGTTCCACATGCCATGTTTGATGGATGTCAGTTATCAGTTATCTCCTGTTAATTTCCCACTGAAAGTTCTCCACTGCCTTAACCGGGTATTGAACTCACACTCTTTGGGTCCTGTCACTGGATCTAACCAACTTTATCCACTCTGTCATGTGTTCTTGAGGACCTGGTAGGATTTTTCAATTTATCTCTATATTTTTGGTATATCGGGTCCGTACTGATCCTTCAGAGTCTGTCTATATTTCTGAGATGAGGTATTATGTACATTATGAGGACTTTAGTTTTAAAATAATAATAAATGATATTTTAATATAAATAATATAAGCAATTTATCTTACACTATTTCTATTATTCGGGGCGAAATAAAAGGTTCAGTTCGACATTCCAACCACCTGAAGAAGGCAGGAGCGTACAACGGCCAAAACATTGTGATAAATATAGCAACAAAGATGAGGACAATAGTCCGAACAATGTAAATAGTGTACCTCATTTCAGAAATATAGACAATTTATCTTAGCCTCACAAAAAATTTAGAACAGTGTGTGTTTGCATGTGAAGGTCGAATTCTCCATAGAATTCTTCTTGGAAATTATAATAGTGGGAGTAGTTTAAGAAGCGCGCCTCGGTGATCTTTAATTTTGGATGAAGCCAAATGAAGAGACGGTGATTTTCTAAACGTAATTTAGATGTGACCCAACAACAAAATTATAGGGCCCCCAGTGAGCATCAGAATTCACTGTTCAGTCGTAGTTGATCTAGCGAGACAAACTTGCTATTACACCATACCTAGGTACCTAGAAGCGAAGTGTGTGTTACACAAATGTTCAAAACGAGGAAGAACCCGTAAACCAGCTTTCGTATTCCTGACCATCATCTCAGCTCAATCACCCGACTTGTTGAAAATAGATAGCTATTTGAGACGTAAAGCAATCTAGCTCTCTCTCTCTCTCACTCGCTCTTTACCCCCTCTCTCTCTCTTTGCTTTTTCTCTCTTTCTTTCTCTCGCGCTCTTTCTCTCTTACTCTTTCACTATCGCTTTCACTCTCTCTATCACTCTCTTTCTCTCCCTCCTTCTCTCGCTCTTTCTCCCTCTCTTTCTATCGATCATTCTCTGTCTCTTTTCTCACTTTCTCTCTCTTTCTCGCTCTTTCTCTATCTCTCTTTCCCTCGCTTTTTCTCTTTCTCTATCTCTCTTTCCCTCGCTTTTTCTCTTTCTCTTGCTCTTTCTTTCTCTCATATTCTTTCTCTTTTTCCTTCTCTTGCAATCTCTCTTTCTCTCACACTTTCTCTATCTATCTATCTATCTATCTATCTATCTATCTATCTTGCTCTTCCGAAGTGGATATTTTAGGAGGATGACTTGTAACATGTATTGTAATTCTTTTTGGAACTTGTGTGACTGGATTAGACGTTTTACCGAGTGAGTATAACAAGAAAAAATATAATTTCCTTTTCAAGGTGAACAACGTGATCGGATATCGATCGTTTGCACTAAATGCATAATACATATAAAAAGACAACAAAAAGAAAAACATTCGTGAGCTTGAAAGTTTCGTCCTAGTGTTGCCAAGTATGACTAGAGGCGTTCGACAATGTCTGGAAGATTTCATATATTCGCAGCATGGCAACAAAGAGAAAGAAAAAATGGCGTAGCATCAAACAGAGAAAATGGAGATGGCGTGTCCGGTTGCAAATGGCGGATGTTGAGAAACTGGCAGCTGACACAAGGAAACAACAAAAGAAAGATTCCGAAGATAGATTATATGAATACAACAGATCAAAGGTAGAAATACTAAGCCGACATATTGGTAGATTTTCAATAGCCAGTTCTCAATAATATACTTTCTTACGACTTGAAATATATATATATATATATATATATATATATATATATATATATATATATATATATATATATATATATCTAAGTATAGATAGATAGATAATCTGATGCTATGAAAACGATATATTTTTTCGGTATGACTTAATATGAGTTTGTCAAAATAGCAATAAATGTTTTTCAAAATAGTTATCTTTCTGGATATTAAAAAAAAAACGGATCAAACATCAATAAACCCGAAGTAGCATTCAATAAAATCTCCAAGCTCAAGAAATACACCTCTCGGTATAAAAATAAATATAAAGCTTGAAATGTTACGACCCTTTCTCGGTATGCTTAACTTTTACCGAAAGCCAAATCTAATTTGTGCATCAACATCTGTACTTCAGTGATAAAAGATTTCAGATATAGACATATCTAGAACAACGTTTTCAGATTAGAATCTGACCAAAGTTCATGCAAATAGCATTAACTTCCTCCATCATAACGACGAACAATCCCCAGTAGTAAAGGCTTCAACTTTTGCCATTATGTTTCCAAAGAAATTATACGAACCTGCTACTGTAGGGATACAAAAGGCTTTTATATACCTTTAGGGGAGATGGAATCATGTGGCTCACGAGACGCCCGTTTTCTCCGTTTGCAGAATATGCCCTCGCTAGTGATTTAGCAGTCGCTGGATGACGGTCAAGTGACACCTGTTGGGCGTGTGTGCTCCTTACCGGGCGAGAAGCTAATTCCTATAGACTTAACCCCCTTCACGACGTTGGGTTTCGCATTGTCTCAATTGTTGACCATGATTTTTCTTCGGATTGGCAGTGGAGTGGTTTCCTGTTGACTTTTCCACTGTGGTTGATGGAGACACCACCTCTAGTTAGCTGGCCGTTGACTCAGATGACAGGACATGATTTTGGGGAAGGTAGCAGAAGGAAGGAACTTGTTGAGAGCTGCAAGAAATAGGAGGATGTGGAGAGCCATGATCGTTCTGATAGGATATGGCGCATAAAAAGAAAGAAGTGTTATAGCAGATATATCTGGCTCGCTTGAATCTGAAATATCAAAAATAGCTTCACCAGAAACACAGAGGAGTCTCTATATTATATATAAGACCCTAACATTTCGTTCTCCTTGAACTATGCTTGTTGTCTAAAATTTTTTTTCTCTGGGTGGGACACGTTTATATATGTATATATAAATATATGTACTACTTCGCATGATAAAATTATCTCGTAGAACAAAGCTGTCTGTCATTACCTTTTCTTTCAGCAATTCCGTTATGGTGTTATTATATCATGGGTATGATAATATCGATAACGGTGGAAACGCGACCAGGAAAATAAACCGTTTTACCATAGCGCACACATTATCTGGTGATATTCACGATGCGACCTGCTATTTTATCTCCATTAACTTTTGAACACAGGGGATATTATTAACCGCCATGATCGGGTAACTTACTCGACATGGAATAATATTTACTTATGTTAAAGCTCTCTCAGAAGCGCGTTATTGGCTTTATACGACGCCATCCGACATATTCGTCTTTTTCACTAGGAATGTTCTATGTTCTAACAGTTTCTTCTCTCGCACCTCTTATTACGGTGAACGATTAACACATTGAGTGGATTTTTGTTTCAGAAATGATACCTTTCATGTTCATGTATTCTTTTATTGAAATTTCTAGATGTTTCATTTATATATTCCATGTGATATTTAATATTATTATAGTATATATCAGGGATTATATTAAATGGACTATATCATGGGCTATATTATATGGAATAATGGAGATAGATATATGCAGTAATGGATAACGGCTCGGACTGAGGAATCGGAGAGCCGAATTCGAAGTACAGTCGAATCCATTACATTCACTTACGTGCTAATACCCTTAGGAACGTTATGAATCCTCTTCTTCTCTCCCCAGTTCTGGGTAAATAGCAGGACAGACCGGATTCTATAGCCTTGGATGGCAACTGGTCTACCGCAGAAAGAAATGGCAATCTACTACGAGAAAAAAATCTGCCTCGTCAGTCATGTATCGAAAGATACATGATCGCTAAAGCGTGTAGCACTAATTGACAGTCTATAACGTAAATTCTGACTTTAGGGGTTATGGTGATACTATTTTGTTTTGTAATTATTAAATCTCTCATTGTTATTGCTTTTTTTTCTTTAAATAGTTGTGACAGCATGTATATTAGGTTTAAATAAGTTCCTTTCAAGTGTAGTCGTTACTGAGGGAGGTAAGAAGTTAATGCATATTTTAGCAGAAAATAAAATGAAATCAAACCCCGAATAATGAATTTACTTGTCTTTCTTGCTTTAAACATGATTTAGTAGTTGCTTTTAGCGCTTCAATCCTATAGAGGGCAAAGATCTGCCTTATATATGTTTTAATATGTAATTCTGCCTTAGCAGAAACTACTATTGGATGAGCGCGAAAACTTGAGACCACCAGCAAACGGTCATATAAAACGAACTAGCCAGATTCAAATGTCTACCTGTAAACGAGGCGGACCTTTCCAGGAATATATAGATTAAATAATATGTTATAAATGTAAAATTTACATTATCCACTAAAAGTTATCTCTAGAAGTCAATTGGATAAAAACATAAAATACCCAGGGCATGTGTAAGGAATACCTAAGAATTGGATTGTGTAAAACCGTAAAATACCCGCGAGTGAGCTGATGTAAAACCTTATGCATGGTAAACATAGTACAAGTTTAGCGGAAAGTCTCATCTTTTTACGATTGAAATGTCTAGATGTAACAGTAAGTTCTCTGTTAATAATTTCTTCTATCGCACCTCTTGTTTGTGGAACTCTCTTCCGGCTTCAAAAATTTAAATACAATGCCAATCGTTATTTTCTGTCTTCTTAATTCTTGTTCTTTTATTGTGTTCACACCTTAATAGTTTTCTTTTTTTTTTAGTTTTTTTTTATTTTCTAACACATAACACTTTGCATCCTAGTGGCTTTATTGGCTTGCTTGGAGTGAAAAGATTTAAAAATATATTTTTATATACTCTCTAATCATAAACCAACAATCGGGGGTAATCCAAATAAAGTCCTATATGTAATCACCGCTGAAATTTGACACATTTTTTAGCCACTCAAGCTAAAGGGTTACTGTTTCGAATTATATTAGCATAGAAAGAACCATAGGAATATAGAGCTACTTTAAAAGGAACCGGAAACCGAATCCTAAACAGGAAACGAGAGATAAAGCTCCATTCCTGTTAAAAAAAAAAAAAAAAAAGAAAAACTGTGTAGTAATGTGAACCGGATAATAGGCGAATATATGCACTTCTATTGTTTATAACATGTTGTGTCTTTTACTATTTCAATTGGAAATGTCTTCTCTGTCCCACGTCTCTTAAGGGCGGTTTTTTTACAAAGGGTTCTCCACATTTACCAATCCTTTCTAATTCCTACTGAAGTTTGTCATTCACTACCCAACTCCTCCCTGTTCTGTTATTCATTTACACAAGTTTTTAGATAAGTTATTAATGTCTTCAATCTGTTCTGGGAGCTCCAAATTATACATGGCTCTTTTCCTAGTCATGCTTCCTAGGAAATGAAACGGTATCTTCCTGATTCTATGTGTAAGTGAATTTTTTTCCCATTTTATTTAAAAACTTACTCGTTACTTAAATGCTCCGTCCATGATCTTCTCAGTATTCTTCTGTAAAACAACATTTTCCGTTGACTCAAGTCTCCTCTTCATC